CCGGTATACTCTCTTCATGCTCTATAACGTAACATTTTTAAAGTTGGTTCTGGTGCCTTTTATGAGTATTCTTTGGCCCTTTAAATATGTAAATCAGGTCACCGATTCTCTTGTCCACTATGCCTCGATCCCAGAACTCAACGTTGTTTTTGCAGCACTTGAAAAACACCTTCTCTCCGGGGGTGTATCTTTTTCTCGCTGAATACATAGTATTCTTTACACTATTTTTTCCTGACAAAAGCTTGTCAAACACTGACTTAACTTTCCTAGCGAACTTTAGTTCAGCTGGTGCCATGTTTGCGTGTGTTCTCTGGTTTGGCGTGATCCTGTATACTTGTAAGAATTGCTGAAGCGCCTTTTCCGTTGGAACTCCTGAGGCTTTCTTCAGAGCTCGCTTTAAAGTATCGACAAGTCTTTCTGCGAGTCCATTAGACCTCGGATGATACGGAGGCGTCGTTATGTGGTTAATTTGATATAACTCACAAAATTCCTTAAATTCTTCAGAAGTGAATTGTGTACCATTGTCACTCACAATACACTCTGGAACACCGAACCGTGCAAATAGTTCATACAAGAAAGTTGTTGTGGTATTGGACGTAGGCTTTTTGCAGCGTAGTACTTCTGGCCATTTTGTAAAACTATCTACCACTATTAAGTAGTAATAATCTTCTACTGGACCAGCGAAATCAATGTCTAATCTTGTCCACGGATGATCCGTCTTGGGCCATGGTTTGTGTACTATAGGTGGTGCCTTAGCTGCTAACGCACACCCTTTACCTCGATAAACCATGTTTGCGATATCCACATCCATTCCTTTCCAATATACAAAGCTTCGCATTAAGCTTTTTGTTCTATTAACCCCCGGGTGACCCATATGAAAGTCCCGAAGTATTCTTTTCTGCAACTTTTTTGGTACTACTACTCTCTCACCATATAATAAAACTCCGTCACCTATTGAATAAATCTCCTGCATTTTTGGTCATTTGCTACCATTTTGCTTTTTATTTCTAAAATGAAATCATCGCTTTCAGCTTCTTTTTTAATTTCCTTTAGTGTAACCGGTAGCTCTCTTACAATGTTGTTTACCATGCTTTTCACCTCATAATCTGCTCTGATATTTGCAATAATTGATTCTTCGAATCTTTCTTCTTTGACTCGGTACGAGTCTTGATAAACTATCCGCATGAATTATATATTTGTGCTTTATGTGAAAATCATAATTGAGAAGAATGGTTCCCCATCTCAACAGACGATTTGCCGTATAGACGGGTAACCCTTTCTTTGAACCAAAAATAGTGATCAGAGGTTTATGATCCGTTTCAAGCATAAAATGTCTGCCGTGGATGTATCTATGAAATTTTTGTATGGCAAAAATGATACCCAGTTCTCGAAGCATGTGCAATTGGTTTTCAAGAACCATCTGGCATTATGTGTTGAATACACGCTCCTATCCCGTATGAACTAGCGTCACTTGCCACTACAATATCCAGTTTTGGATTGTAATGGGTTAAAAAGAGGTCGGACGTAAGTATTTTCTTTATTTCATCAAAGGCTTTCTGACATTCTACCGTCCATTCCTATGCCTTGTCTTTTTTTAGCAGTTCATTCAACGGAGCTCTTAAATTGTACATTCCTTTAATGAACGCTTGATAATAATTTGCGAGCCCCAGAAAACTCTGTAGCATCGCCACATTAGTGGGCGTCGGCATGTCTCTAATCGCAATGGACCTTTCCGGATCTGGACATCTGCCATTTTTGTTGATTATGTGCCCTAAATACTTAATTTCCTCCAAACCAAATTCGCACTTTGACTCTTTGACTTTAAATCCAAAGTGCTGAATCTTTTTAAATACTTGATTGAGATGCTCTCGATGTTCGTCGACGGTTTCGCTCCTTACTATGATGTCGTCTAAGTAAGCGCACGCAAAGTCTAAATCATTCAACATGACGTCCATAGCTTGTTGAAAAATGGCTGGTGCCACTTTAATACCAAAAGGAAGCTTGTTGTACTTGAATAACCCTCTATGCGTGTTTATCCCTAGTAACTTCGAACATTGCTCTTCGACGGGAATTTGGAGATAGGCATCTGATAAGTCGATTTTTGAAAATATAACTCCACCATTTAGCTTGTTAAAAATCTCCTCCGGACTCGGTAACGGGTAATGGTAGTCCTTAATTACCGAGTTCAACCCTGTCGAAAAATCGACGCAGACTCTGACTTGGTTCGATTTCTTTTTTATGCACACAATCGGCGCAGCCCATGAATTAGATTCTACTTTCGAAATAATTCCCATTTTTTCCAACCTATCAAGTTCTTCGTTAATTTTCCCTACACTTGCGAAAGGCACGTTACGTTTCTTTTTAAAAATTGGCATAGTATTTTCCTTTAATTCAAATTTGGCTTCAAACTTGTTACATCTTCCAAGACCAGGTGTGAAAGTTTCCGGAAACTTTTTCTTTAATTCCTCTTTAATGTCCTGTCTTGTTTGCGCATTACTTTCTACTTTTCTGCAGAATGAGTTTAACGGTTTATCCCACCATTCGAATGTTTCAATAAAATCTGTACCCATCAAGTTTTCTCCATTTTTCAGAATGAAAACTTTTATTTTTTTAACTATCCCGTACGAATTCATGGGAAGTACAATCTCCCCTTCGAATTTAATTTCCTTTCCAGTTACTGTTCGAGCGCGTTTCGTGGACTTCATTATTGTAGGCCTTTTTAAAATTTTCCATGTTTTATCGTTCATTATTTTTAAATCTGAACCCGAATCGAGTGGAAATTTGATATTCTTTTTAAATATTTCAGTCGTCACATACTTCCTCGAATCTCTATCTGATTTGATATTTGAATTTGTTTGTCTAATTCGGCTATTGCCTTTTTTCGTTTTACAACACGACCCTTTGTGACCATTCTTGTGGCTCACGAAACATTTTTTATTTCTATATGGGCAATTTACCTCCCAGTGTCTTTCGTTGCACCGTCTACAATTATATGGTGGAACCTTTTTTTTCTCCTCATTCTTTTCATTTAATTTTTCTTGTCTATTTTTAAAATACGCCGAATTTTTACTCCAATTTTTTTCTGATGGGTAATTTGACTGTTTTTTATTTTTTTAATATAAACAATGCCAGCTTCTTCGATTTTTTGAGACTCTTTCTTTAAACTTACGGCCCGCTGACACTTCTCTGCTAACTTTTGCAGAGTAAGGTTTTGTTCAGATTCGAGTTTAGACAAAACTCTACGTCTTATTTCGGCACTCTTACTGGATACCAGTCCTTGAGCAAAAATTAAACACTTGAATTCGTCAACCGTAATCTCTGCCAATCTGAAATTGTCACAATGTCTATTCACTATAGATGCATATGTTAAGTAATCCTGATCGTCGGATTTAGCGACATTCATGCATAACCATCGCTTATGCCAAAGCGACATATTTGCTCAAACAACTCCTTTAGCAATTTCACTGTTTCCGAGAATTCCAATTCATTTGTTCTTCTCGGCAGAATAAAATCTACAAATTTGCTATGTTCCGCTGTACCTAGCTTTCTTAGTAATAGACTGACTTTTCTTGAATTCGACCAGTTTTCACAGTCTGTGTAGAAAATATCTTCATATCGTTTAAAGTACGCTTCAAACGTTTTTTCTTCGTCTGGCACATAGTTGAAAGTTTCCAACGAATTAAATATGATGTTATTAGAATATGAAGAGTTTCCTTCATTTACCTGATTGTTGTTTAATTTCTCCAGTGTTAACTTTTGAATTTCTAAAACCTTGATCTGCATTTCTTCCTGTTTTTCCAGTCTTTTCTCTTTTTTTTCTTGATATTTTTGCTGTCTTTCCTCTTGTTCCCTTTGACGTTGCTGACTCAACTCCTCTTGCTTTTCTTGATATTCTTGCTGTCTTTTCTGTTGTTCCCTTATTAATAAGGCAAACTGTTCACTTTGACGTTGCTGACTCAACTGCTGGGATTTGACTAACTCAGCTTGACTCAACTGCTGTGATTTGAATAATTCAGCTTGACTCAACTGCTGGGCTTTAAATAATTCAGATATGACTTTGGATAATTCATCCATTTTTAGCTGATAATGTTCATACAACAAAGAATATACTTTTAAATTGTGTATCCACGAATATAATATAAGCTGACCAAAAAAATCGAAACAACTTACGACTTTTAATTTTATGTCTTGCTTTATAAAATATTGTTGAGCAACAAAAAAAAAAAAATTTTTTTTTTTTTTTTTCTTTCGTTACCTTTCAAAGTCGACACGGTGTATTTGTACCTTTTAATTCCATGCATGTTTTTGTAGTCGGCCAGTTTTTTTTTTTTTCTTTTTTTAATTCACCGTTATTCGTTTACGCCACCTTTCAGATTTTTCTGAGTGAACGTTCCTTTATGCTTAGTCGTTCTTTAACGAGTTTTAAATATCCAAACTTCAGAATCCTTTGCCGTTCCATTAGATGTTGGACTTTTAATTAATATTTTTTTTCCTTCAGCCTGGGTTCTTCAAACTTGTCCCAGTTGTTGAAGGCTATCAATTATCAATTCTTTTTTTTTCCGTAAAGTTCTTTATACTTCGTCGCCATTGTTGAAACTTGACTAATGCATGGAATAATAATACAACACAAAATGTACTTAGAACAAAATGTATTGAAACAAGAAAGGTACACAATATTTACATATAGTCTTTTGTATATTCTTGGGAAGAGCGTTCCTGGAGAATGTGTTGACTTAGTCGTAGTCGGGCAGAGTCTCTGGATTGAATCTCTTGATTCCTCCCCTCTCTTCCCGGTACCAACCATATTTATATGGTCGGTACTCCACTATACAAATTAGGTGGATCCTACCACAACAACACTATCTATCTATCTATCTATCTATCTATCTATCTATCTATCTATCAGTCTGCATCTATCTATCTATCTATCTATCTATCTATCTATCTCAGTCTGTCCTTATCACTCTCTCTATCTATCAATCCACTAATAGCCAAAAGCTTACGGTCAAAACATATTGAAACATTGGTTCCCGTACGATCACCGAAGTTAAGCAACGTCGAGCCTGGTCAGTACCTAGATTGGTGACCGCTTGGTAATATCAGGTGCTACAATTTTGGATATGCAGGTGGTATAATGGATAATGGCTCGGAATTGTTAATCGGAGAGCGAAGTTAAAATTACAGTTGCGTTTGTTATATTCGCACAATACACATCTTCTCCCCCTGCTATGGGTTAATTAGTAATATTTGCGTCACTAAAGTCATTATTACCTCTATAAAATAAAATAAAATTGCGTACAAAATATTTAGATTTTGGCATAAAATAACCCGCATAGGTTGATATGCCTCTAAACAAAAACAAACAACTTACTTACCAATGAACCAATCAACAACCACTCAACCAACCTACCAGCCAACCAACCAAGCCACACTCATGATTTGGAAGAATCACTTAAACTTTGAATGTTGCACACATTTTTCCAAATATACTTCTGGCGAATAGGACTTTCTCTTTCTGAAGGGTTTTCACATATTAAATAATAAAAATAACGAAATTAACACATCACTTAAAATTTTACCTCTTTTTTTCTTAATCTACCTTTTGCTGGTTAAACATTATTTTAGGGTTGGAGGATTTAAAAATTTAGGCAAAGTCTTTTCTAAAAAATTGGAGGCGCTGCACTAATGGGTTAAATATTTTAAATAGTTTCGAGAGAGAGACACAGAGAAAAAAAAAAATGATAAAAAAAAGGTGATATATATATATATATATATATATATATATATATATATATATATATATATATCCTAATGAGTGAAAAAACAGGAGTAAAAATCAACGATGCGTAGCATTTACTTTTTTTAAAAAAAATGCTCAGTACAAAGTAGAGCAAAATATTATTATAACATTTTTATTATAATAAATTATAATAAAAACATTTTATATCGCTACACAAAAACTTTCATGTTTCAGTACTAAGATGGTACTTCTTCAAGCGATGAAACAAGAAAGTATTTTGTGTAGTGATGTAAAATGATTTATTGAAATTTATCATATATATTTATATATATATATATATATATATATATATATATATATATATATATATTGTATGTGTGTGTGTGTTTTGTAATGCCTGTTGGTCGGAGAGACCTAGGAAATCATAGATACAACAATAGTAACGCCTTCGTAGAATTTCTCGGTCAGACGCCGCTAATTCCCTTATATATATCATATATATATTTTTTTTCTTTACCCATCACATGATCTCATTATTCATTATTTCAAGATGAGGTCGACTGTGCTTCCTCTCTAGCGACAGCGACACTTTTTTCCTATATGACAATATGATGAAATAAAAGAACAAATAGGAAATGCACATCAATGTAACATATTTCACTTTCATGAAAGTTTCATCAGAAAAAGGTAAAAAAAAGAATAAAGTTCTATCCGTTCTCTCAATTTCTGACGAAGTTTTAATAAAAACTGAAACATGTTAGATTGGTATACGTTCTTTATCTTATCCTCTTGCATTTCAATTCATATTTCATCTGTATTTGATCTTTATTTCATATATATATATATATATATATATATATATATATATATATATATATATATATATATATCTATATATGAATTAAAGATCAAATGCATATATATATATATGTGTGTGTGTGCCAAACGATAAAAAAAGAGAGTAATAGAAGACAGTATCTGTAACGTGTTTATGTGCAAGGGAAAGAAGAATATTTCACAAAAAAAGGAGAATATATAAAAATATATATATATATATATATATATATATATATATATATATATATATATATATAAGATCAATTGAATAATATTGAATGTCGACTTATTTTTTATACTTGTCCTTTTCAGTTGTCTAATCAGTTTCTTGATGTTAGGATGAAGACGTGTTATGAAGAAGACGTCATATTTTTTTAACCTACGTACTTTCGACATTTTCTAAGAACATCTTCAGTAGTAAATATTAGACCACTGAAAAGGATCAGTATAAAATAAGTAGACAATATTATTCAATGAAGTATATTTGAATAAAGATGTACTGCCTAATTATACACAAACAAACACACACACACTATATATATATATAGTGTGTGTGTTTGTGTGTATGTGTGTGTGAGAGAGAGAGAGAATCCGGACGAAGCTTTGCCGAAGGGTAAGGTTTCGTTCGGGGAGGTAGACAGGGCCTGAATCCGTCTAGGCGGGTTCAAAAAAGGCTATATTTTTTGGCCGAGCCTACGGGCTCGGTGATACCCACATTAAACCGGCCTTGTGCCACATTCTATCCTCGTGGGTGGATCGATAAATACTGAAAGAGAGAATAAGATATTTCACAAAAAAAAAAAAAAGAGTAATTATACATTTCATTATGTATAGCAAGAGTATGTGTGCGCGTGTATTTGTTTGTGTGAGAGACAAAGAGAGAGGGCATGTGCGTTAGTTGAGGGAACGCCGGTTCGTCTGGTGATGGAGACTGGACAATGTTTCACACATACCATATACTATACCCCCCTGATTCTTTCATCAACTAATTGAGTAATGACCTATGTTTCTCAGCAGATAAAGCGGGTCAATTTCGCAATAAACCCCACCATATAGGAAGAATATATTTTGCCAATATATAAAAATGTTTCAATGTGTTCTGTGCTTCTTGGAATACGAAAGAAGATTTGAATTGTCTGAGATGTGAATTCACATCATTCACACTATTTACATTCGGACTATTGTCCTCAACTTTGCTGTTATTACCCCCCCCCCCGATCACCTTCTAGATGAATTTCTCGGATGAGGTATCATCATTATTTACACTATTTACATGCAGACTATTGTCCTCATCTTTGTTGTTATTACCCTCCGCTCACCTTCTAGATGAATTTCTGAGATGAGGAGTTATCATTATTTACACCACTTACATACGGACTATTATTCCTATTCTTTGTTGTTGCTACCACGGCGTTTCTGGCCTTCGCCATGCATATGGCCATCCGGGTAACCTACAGGGAATTCTGAATTTACCCGAACTTACCTTTTTACTTAATCTACTGGCATGGATCTTTGTCGTTCCACTGCCCATGTCATGTGATATATCGTAACAAAGAACTATAAATTTATTAAAGTGTTCAGTTCGTAGTTATCTGTAGGTTATCCGGATGTTCATACATCTGATGAAGTTCAGAGGTCACAACAGCCAAAACTATAAAGATGAAAACAATAGTTCGCATGTTCATAATGCAAATAAGGGATAACGTCTCTTCCCAGAAATTGAGAAGTATTTTGTCGACATAAAAGGTCCTTGTCTGAAAATCTGTGAATCAGTGACGTTGTTGTAATTTCAGGTGCATGAAATGTAGTACGTTCTAAAGAATATGTCGGTAGCGTGTTTTAACGTTGAAACGTCTGGCAGTGAATCGATAATAGCTGTTAGAATGTTTGTGGCTTTTCAATCTGTCGGTTTACCTCCTCCTTATTTTCGAAACCGCTACTAGGAGACGCTCTCCGGCACTATAAATACCTTGCGATAATTTTTATCACTCTCTTCTGATCTTTTCCGTCAACATGTAAGTCTCTCACGGAAAAACGCATTCCCTTTTTGGGAAATGCATAAACAAATTACACATACACACTCACGTAGGTACGCACACTCACTTATCCAAATACTTTCAACCAAAAAGTTTCCACATTCATGTTACACACATTATTATCTTTGTTACTGTTAACTCTTTGATGTTAATACATTATCATTTATTAAGAAATGGACAAGGTCCGACAATTTATTTATTAAAGACATATTTTATGTTTAACGTTGTTATTTTATAGATACAAGTATTTAAGCAAATGCTCTGTTTATGATAAACAGTATTAAATAACATTTACCGGCCTGAATGTCCGAGAAATTTTCATAGAAAATAGTGGAATCAGAGTGGAATCCGAACGAAACTATTCCGAAGTGGAGTCTCGTCCGGGGAAGTAGAGAGACCCGAACCCGTTTATGCGGGGTTACGGGGAATTTTTGGCCGAGCCCGAGGGCTCGGATTGCCCCATATTAAACTTAGCCTTGTACTGCATCCTTCCTTGTGGGGAGGCACAGGTAAATATCGACACATACATGTTTATATCTCAACATCGTACACAGGACCGTAACAAATGCATCTATTTTGGCATTGTTTATGGATCCATGAATTTGGAACGCTGTGGATTTGAGTTTAGTAACACAAATATAACAGCTAATAGAATTTGTTGTGAACTGTGAAGTTATTCAGCTGGTGTTAATGTACTAAATATGTCGAAGCCTGTTTTATGAGAACTTTTTTTTAATATATCCGCTATTGACTTCTCTATTTTTCGAAGGTTCTTGTGTCTTCGGTTTTATTAAATTAATTGGGTAATTTCTAATTTTAGCCCCGTACTCAGTTTTTAGTAAAAGTTTCCCGAATAGTTCCATTTAGGTCTAGATTTACATGCTTAATTCTAAAATATCAATTAAATTTTGCTGACATCTACTGTTTTGGAGTTATCGACAACAAAATCTCGGACGGATTTACATCCATTCATTTCGGGTCCGTTCGCCATTACTGACGTTATTTTCATACGTTTGCCTCGAGCAGTCATGCCCAAAATCTTACTTAGTTAACGGCATTTTTACTGATCTTACTTGTCTCAGTTACTGCGCAAAACCAAAAGAATTTTTTAGACACTTTTGAAAGTGGTGCTTGTATTGAATATTTTTTGTAAGTTAGTTAGAAAAGCAATGACAGGTGTTGTTTTTTTTTTAGTGAAGCATTTTCTTGTTTTTTTTTTTTACTTTAAAGTTTTTTATAGTGAAGATGTAATAATAATGAATTCTTGGTTAAATATTAATAAAATAAATAATAAAACAAATTAAAAAATAAACCAAATTAAATAATAAAACAAATAATAATAAAATAAATAATAAAACAAATTAAATAATAAAACAAATAATAATCATGCTCTTTTTAAATTTCTCGCAAAGTTTGCGCATTGCGCACGCAATAATCAAGACAAGTGAAACCCCACGGCAACTATGGCTGCCGTGCTTTAGTCGCGACGCGAATGAGTC